AAAAAGTATTATTTAAATCTGTATGTTGGCACGTCGAGTTCACTGCTGGACAACGACAGTGATCAGCAAGAATAACAAAAAATACAAAAATAAAAATAATAACATAAAAACAAAAAAAAAGGTATACTGTTGTCCACATAGCTCTCTATGCGTTTATTAAACGCAACCACGCGTAGGAAGAAATATGTGCATACAGAGTGCATTGTATGTATATACATATGTATTTATTTATAAAGCCAATAATAATACAAAAAATATATATTTAATATTTTCTTTTTTGAATTTTTCACGCTGCTGACTTTGGTTGCTCGCCTTACTGCGTCTGCTTTTTTCTTTATTGTTGATAATTGGTATTATTAGTGCCGGCGTTTTGACGTTGTTTATCTCGTGATTAATTTTTCTTGCTTATTTACCATTTTACACGACATTATTTATACATATATATATATATATATATATAGTCTTACGAATATAAGAAAGGGGTTAACTAATCTGTAAATTGTTCTTCTAAAAACGTTCTATGGATCGTGTACATATATAAAAAGCATACCATCTTAACTAACTTTTTTTGTTGTTCTTCAGTCATTTCAGATAATATATATTTTTTGTTCGTTCTAACAATTATTGACTGAAGATTTGGTATTTAAAAAAAATAATTAAAAATATTTTTGTTTGAGAGTCATAAAAATTATAAGCTTTCAAGTACTACAGTTATTTTTTTTAATAATGTTCTTAATATTTCTGTACTGAAAATAACGGTGTGAAATGTTTATTTATACAGCAGGCAACGAAATTGTTTTATGCCAGGCGCGATATGTATTAATTGCGTTGTAAATTGTTTAAAAATACAATATGTGTGTGTTTTTCCCAATATAACATACTCTATAGTACATACCCTATAAGAAAAATAGAAATGAATAAATAAAAGTAAATTAAGTAATTAATTAACAAACAAATAAATAAACAAATAAATTAAGTAAATAAATAAATAAACAAATAAATTAAGTAAATAAATAAATAAACAAATAAATTAAAAAATAAATGAATAAACAATAAAAAAATAAAAAAAAATAATTAAATAAATAAAAAAGTAATAAAAAAAATAAAAATAAATTAATAAGTAAATAAAAAATAAATAAATAAATATAAATTAATAAGTAAATAAAAAATAAATAAATAAATATAAATTAATAAATAAATAAATAAAGAAAAATAAATAAATAAAGAAAAATAAATAAATAAAGAAAAATAAATAAATAAAGAAAAATAAATAAATAAAGAAAAATAAATAAATAAATGAAAATAAATAAATAAAGAAAAATAAATAAATAAATGAAAATAAATAAATAAATAAACATAAAACATAAATAAAAAATTTAAAAACATAAAATTATAAAAAAAAAATAAAANCAAATTAAATTAAAAAAAATTAAATTAAAAAAAATTAAATTAAAAAAAATTAAATTAAAAAAAAATTAAATATAAAAAATTAGATATAAAAAATTAAATAAAAAAATTATTGAATAAAAAAAAATTAAATAAAAAAAATTAAAAAAAAAATTAAATTCAATAAAGAAAAATAAAATAATCAAAATATATTAAAAATATACATAATATATTAAAAATTAGATAAATTAAATTGTTTTGCTGTAACTAACGTTTAAATTGATTTTCTGTCATAGCTGAATGATATTTATGTTTTTGGGTAGATAAACATTGCTATCTATGTCTGTGGTTTTATACGCGCTTGAGGTTTTTATTTTTATAAAAAGTTAAAACGCACGCAAATACAAATGCGTATCAATTAATTCTTGCTATTTCAAAGAAATTTACATATATATATATTTGGCGCTTTGTAACCGTTGAACCGATTTTTCGGCCAAAGCTCCCCTTCCAATTTGTGGTTTTTCGCTTTGATGTTTTCCCAACAAATGGAGGGACCTATCAAGCCGCCTACGAATGGCTGATTGTTTTTTTTTTTTATGAGGAGCTTTTATTTGTTGTCCAAAATACACTCGGAAGGGGTGGCCGCCATTAGAAAATTTAACTTAATTTTTTTTATTTAAATTAGTATTCCCTAAACTTTTGGATTTAGATTTGAACCTGAGCCTTCCGAATATCAGTACACATTGTTACCACTCGGCTACCGCGCCGCGGTCAAAGAAATTTATATATATGTAAATATTTATACATATATATACAACTATAAATGTAATGTTAAAAGAAATTTAGCAAATTAAATGTAGCACCAACACAAGCGTGCGAATCTAGAAAACATACATATGCATGTACATACATATGAAAAGCCGGCAAACTGCGTCAGAACTAACGCACAACAGCAACAACTAATTTCATTATTCGTTTTTCTGCTTTGCAATTAAAAATTTGGCAATAAGTATTTATTTCGTTGTTTTTCAATATGTATGTACATACATAACCTAATTTTTAATTTAAATTATCTTAACGAGTAGATGGTACATACAAATATTTAGTATGTACAACTTACTTATTTCGTCTTTCATGAGGTTTTCTATGAAAAGTGTGAATGAGGCTAAATTCTATAAAATTCACTTGTGATTCCCACAATTTTCGATTATACAATCCCAAAAAACGCCGCCACCAAGCTTCTTCGCTCAGTTAACAATATAGTGAATTTGTTTAGAAAAATGCACTCGCCAAGCAGTCGTGTAGGGGCGCAAAGGGATGTGATGGTGGGGCGGATATTTTCAAGCAAACTAAAATTAATTCAATCAATGAATGCGTTTGTTAAATTAGTTAATGGCACGTAAAGAATTGTTATAATATTTGAAATTTTATTTTCTGTCATTATTTTCAGTTTTTTGTTTATATTTTTTAGTCTGGAATAGTAGATGATCTATATTTTTTTGTTTATTTTAATAAAGCTATAAATATATAAATATTATTTTTAATTTTTTTTTACTTTTTCTCATTATTTTTATTTTTTTGTATAGAATTTATTATTAGTACTGGACTAGTTGGTGTAAATTTTATAATTTTATATAAAGACACAATTGGACAATTATTTTTATTAAATAAAAAAAAGAGTTTAAAAATGTGCGCCATTCAATACTATTTTATTGTTTCAATTGAAAATTTTCATTGTAATTAATTAAATGTTTTATTTATTTATTTTGTATTTTTTTATTATTATTTTTTATTTTAGTTTACTTGTTTTTTTTTACTAATTTATTACTTATTTTTTAATTTTTTATAAATATTTGTATTAATAACTTTAATTTATTTTTTTTGATATATAGTTTTTTTTAGTTATTTTTTTTTGTTATTTTTTTTGATATTTTTGTTTATTTATTTTTTTTTTGTTATTTTTTTTTTTTTTGATATTTTTGTTTATTTAAATTTTTTATTATTTTTTCTTTAGTTTATTTTTATATATGTTTTTAGTGCTGTAATAGTAGTTGTAAAATTTATTATGTAAGTAAACAATTGGGAAATTATTTTTATTAAATAAAAAAAATTATACAAAATTTTTATTTTTCTTAATATATTTTTTATTTTATTTTTTGTATTTTTATATTTCTTGTTAAATAACTTCATATTCTATTTATTTTCTCATTTTTGTTTTTTGTTTAATTTATTTTTATTTTCTCATTTTTGTTTTTTTTTTGTATCATTTATTTTTATTTTCTCATTTTTGTATTTTTTTTATGTTTAATTTATTTTTGTTTTTCTTTTTTTTAGTCTATATTTTTAATTTATTCAATTTTATTTGCTGTTTTATTAAATTTTCGTATTTTTGAAGCCAATGTTTAAAAGTAACATTTGTCACTCACTCTCGACAACGTCATTTCGTACATATTTTTTTAATTTTTTTTTATTCTACGTGCCACAACTTAATAGGGGAAACTCCATGAATTGTAGTTAAATTTTGTATAATATTCAAAGTTTTATTGTTTCTTGTTTAATTTTAATTGTTTCGTGTGGAACAATTTTTTAAAACAATTTTCAGCAAATTTTATGAAAATATTTATCTTCAAAAGCCTTGGGGTTCAATGCTTTAAGTTTTAAAATATTTTTTTTTTTTTTACAAGCGTACTTACAGTAACAGTACTCCTAATATTCATTTGGAATTTTACAATTTAAGTCACGCGGCTCGACAGATGCGAAAATAAATAGTTTTCGAAACATTTTCGGTTTTTCGATTATAAAACGATTATAAAACTGTTTAAATTCAAAAATAGTGTGAAAAGGTATCAAATAAAAAAGGAGAGAAAAAATTAATATTAAATAATAACTTAAATAAATAATTTATAATAAAGTTAAATAACATAAAATAAATTTAAAAATAATTTTATTTTATGTACATATGTATGTATATACATATATATTTTTGATGATAATGTGTGGATATCAAATTTGCTAGATGCACACAAACGAGTATGTATCTTAAATATATTCAAAGAATTGCGTACACATTTTTTTTTTTACAATTTGTATGAAAAGTGAAAAGTCGACACTTTTTCAAATGTAAGAAACTGTTTTGCTGCGTGCTCTATAAACGCTTAAGCAAATTTCGTTTGAATGTAATATAAACAATATAAAAACATACATATATACAATAGATACATATGTACGTACACTCAAGTACCAACTAAATAAATAAACATAATACGCAGTGACCGATTCCACCACACCGTCACTTGTCTGACAACGAAATTCCTTGTCGATCATTTGCGATCTTAATACACTGCACTGATAAACATACATACATATGTATGTCTAGATATTCTCACGTTTTTTGATTTACAAGCGTATTATGTAAATCTATACTATATTTGCCAAGTATAATTTTATTTAAATTCGCAACAAAGAAATGCTTTTTATTACAGTCAAATATATGCACTGCGATATGCACTTATATATTGTAAGCGCTGAGAAAATATTGTACATACATATCGGTCACATTTTTTTTTATATGATTTTGAATTAAATTTAAAACTTGTTCCCTTCTTTTGTTCCAGGCGGCCATAATGAAATCACCCGCTATAGCAGCGAAGATGTTTCGGGCAACGAGTCCAGCGAGGCGCCGAAAATGACGGAAATCGAACGTCAGGCGGAACTCAATCGTCACAAGGAGGAAATGCAAAAGAAGCGACGCAAGAAGAAGCGTACAAGTTCCTCCTTGCATTCGTCAACATTTCAAGGTGAGTTTTCATTAATAGTAATAATGATAATAAAAATATATTATTATTAATAAATTTGCTTTTAATTTACTTAATTTACGAGTGAAAAATTATATTGTGGGTGTACCGGCACGTAAAATGCATAAAAATTTTTTTTGCAATCGTCATTGCTTTGTACTCTTTGTATTTCAATTTTTTTTTTAATATTTTTGAATAATTTTTATAAACTATTATTATAATTATTTTTATAAATTACTATTATAATTATTTTTATAAATTATTATAATTAGTTTTATAAATGAATATCATAATTTTTTTTTAATTATTATTTTTCTTGTTCACTTGAAAATTCACTTTTTGAATATATTAAAAAATAAGTATGTTAATTTGAAAACAGCTATTTTCAGTGACGCCCTCCCCGATACCGACCAGCTGTTCCCTCCTAGTTAAATGTGTTGTTGGTGCCCCCATTTTAATTTTTCCCATTGAAAATATGTCATTGTCTTTTGTTTTAAATATAAAATTAATAATTTAAAATAAGAATAAATGCGCAGCAGCACACAAGACTGCGCTTTTCTTGCTCATCATCATCAACATGCGACCAACTCAACTCGATGCTTGCGCTTACTAATTATTTTTTCACCGGTTGGCGCTTTATATATATGTACATAAAATACATAATTATTACCGAAATGTGTGCGCAAAAAGCTAAATATAGTTTTAAAAGTAACAACAACAAAAATATATATAAAAAAATGAAAAAAAAATTAAGCTTTTGTTTTCATTTGAGGTGTGCGTGCTTCGTTGAAAATGGCACAAGGCGAGTGCATACGTAATCAACGCGCGCCTTACACTATATACATACATACATATATGAAGCTAATAATGATTAAAAAAAATGTTGGGAAAATTTGTGGAAGAAAATAGATGAGACCACAAGAGCAAGAGAACTAAGTCATTGCATAGCCACGTGCATAAATATTTTTTGCCTTCTCTCTGTTTTTAATTTCTTTTTTTTTTTAATTTTTTGTTTTGATTTTTTTTTTTTAAATTTTTTGTTTTGATTTTTTTATTTTTAATTATTTTTATTTTTTTATATTATAAATGTTATTATTTTTTTATTTATTTATTTTTTAGCTTTGTTTTTATTTCTTTTTGTTCATTCTCTTGTTTGTTTTGCGTTCGGAGGTAGAACTGTTTACACAATTAATTTTCGCCGGCTAAATTTTAATTTTATAAAGTAAACAAATAAGCCTTCAGTTGTGTTACAGTGAGTTTTTGATTCACGAGGTCGGTAGAAATAAGGAAAATTGTATACGTGCATATCGGCAGGCGGGCGAAACGCCAGATAAGACAGTCCGCCCTTTATTTTTTAAAATTGTTTGTAAGATTATATGTATGTATATTATTTATTGTATGAGCCGCTCAGTGCACACATCGATTAACTCCATAAAACGAAAAGTTGAGAAACACGGTGCTGAAAAGTATATACGTTTGAAAAATTCTCTGATAATATGAATTCAAGAGCATAAGTTCGTGCCCGATTCCGCTGGATGCCGTTCGAATCGTTTGAGAGTGGCGCTCGTGAAAGAAATATATACATATTATATATCCTTGGAAAGGTGACAGTCCGAACTGTAAATCAAGCATAAAATAACTTCATTTTGATTTGAGTTGCTTAGTGAAAAGACGCATGGAAGATGGACAACGAAAAAGATCATAT